TTCCTCCAGGTTTAAGCCAGACAGGATGAGTGTAGAGGGAGCAGGAGTCCTGAGGCCAGTGCAACCCCTGCCCCTCCTGGCTGGTGACACAGAGTGGGCTGGCTCCTCCCGCAGCCTAGGTTTCCCTATCTGCACTAGAACCCGGAGGCTCCTCCCTTCAGGGAGTTGCATCTTCTTTGCTAGGGTATGGCTGGTCTGGGGAGGCCTCCCTGCACTACCTGCTGAGGACCTGCTGCCCCCTGGTGGCTGTCTTGAGCCCTGCAAAGCCTGCCCTCTCCTTCCATCCCCTCAGCCTCTGCCCCCACTCCCTCAGCAGGTGACTGGGTGGGAGCAAGGAGTCAAAGCAGGGGCAGGACACAAACTGGGGGGCTTGGAGGAAGCTGGGGGGGGCAGGGCAGAGGGCAGGGCCTAGGCCCCAATCTGCATCCATCTGTCTCTAGGGCATCTTGGTATTTGTGCCAATATCTGTTGCCCCTCCCTGCCCCCCCCATCACAAGATGGCTGGGGCAAGGGTCAGCCAAGGGGTGTCAGGTCAAGGGAGGGGCCTGGGCCCCCACTCCCCAGATGTCCCCACCTCCCAGGTGCTCCAGCAGCAGGAATGTTGGCTTCTGTACTCCTAGAAGGAGGGACATCGGCTGGAGAAAAAGCCCAAGAATCACTATAAGAACATCCTTCCCTGTAGGGACCTGGGGGCAGGACTTGCCAGGAAAGGGGGGAAGGTATGCAAAGGGGAAAGGAAAACCTGCTGGGGGAGGGCCTGTGAGGGAAGGAGGGCAGGGGTGTACTTCCCACCACTGCTGTGAGGCTCCCTCTTGCACACACTGGATCTCTGAGACCCCTTCCTCCCCCATCTATACTCAGCATGGGGTCAGAGTCAAGGAGGCAGGGTGATGGCCTGAGTGTCCTTCTCTCTGGAGTGGCCCCTTCCCCCTTCCCAGCTGACATTACCCATATGGCTATGATGTAAACATTAGCATGCTTGGAGCTGACTACATCAACGCCAACTACATCAGGGTGGGTATGCGGAGGTAGGGCACATAGATCTAACATAGCTGGCCACATGCCTAGAGTCATCCCTCTCAGAGTCCACCAGGACTCCAAGGGGCCAGTGGAGCAAAGAATGGGTGGGCCCTGAAGACCTCAGAGCGGTCTGGTCTGATCACTGGTCATAAGACCCTGCAGCTGCTTTGCATACCATTTGTAGAGTCAAGTGTGTTTATCCCCTAGGATTTTATCCTCTGGAAACAGCAGGCAATTGACCTCCACCTCTTTCAGAGTGACCCTGAAGAGAAACCAGGCCAAGCACTGGCCAAGCTGTCTGCAGAAGGGCTGTCTGCAGACCACAGTGGCTGCCTTCTGGTCCATGGTGCACCAGGGGAACACATGTATCATCGTCATGACCACCAAGGAGGTGAAGTGCTGCCAGGTGAGGCTGGCCCCACATGCTTCTCCATCAGCTAGTAGAGGAATAGCCTGTTTCGCTGCCTTGACCAAGGAGCCTTCCAGGACAAGGATGCCGTCTCCCACAATCTGCCCTCAACTTCCCTCCCCCAGGCACCTGGGCCATCTGAGGGCCACCTCCATGTCCACACCTCGTGCTAGGCATGCCCCTCACCCTTCTCCTCAGTCTTCCCAGTAGGTCCCTTCTCGCACACCCGGCCTCACCAGGGGCCTGCCCCCTCTTGGCCCAGCGCATCCTCACACCCCTCCATCGAGGTTGCAAAAGCGCTAGCTCAGAGTCCGCACCCTGACCCCGTCTTGGGGGTGCGGACCGCGTTTGGGTACGCGCTCACTGCCCTGACCCTCCCAGGAGGAGCTGCCGCGCTGTGCGCCGTGAAGCAATACCAGTACTTCGGCAGGCCGGACCACGGAACCTGCCGGCGCCCTAACGCATGAGGTTGGTCCCAGAGCAGCGCACCGGGGACTAGACCCATGGTCTTGCCTTGCTGGTATGGCCGGGGGCAGAATCACCGGGTGTGGGCGCTGCCCGGCCCTGGTTCCATGAAACACATCACAGGCAGCCTGGTCAGTACCCACAGCGATGATATCAGCAGCACCTGCAGCGTCATCGTGATTGATATCCTGGTTGACGTCATCCATAGACAAGGTGAGCCAGCCCCCCCCTCCCCGCTCCCTCCCGGTGGTGCTGCCCTTGATCCCGTCCCTTCCTTCCCTTGGCGGTGGCTTTGCCCCTCCCAGTTCCCTGCCCCATGCCCCCATAGCCCACCCCAAGGACACGCCCTTCCCTGAGCCTGCCTCCCCCGGCTCCGCCCCAGAAGCCCCGCCCCTCGCCGCCGGCTCCGCCCCTCTGGCCTCTCCTCCAGCCCCTCAGCTTTCCTCTTGGCCCACCCTTCCTGTAAACTCGCCCCGCCTACCTTGTGGGCCCGCCCCTCCTGTGGCCCCGCCCCGCCCTCTGGGCCCCGTTCAGTCCCCGCCTCCAGGTCCACCGTTCCTCCCGTGGCCCCGCCCCTCCATGAGCGTGCCTCTCTGTGACCCACTCCTCTGAACTCTTCTGCCTCCAGAGCTGGATTGCGACAGCGGCGACTCGAAGACGATCTAGCTAGTACGGCGGTAGCGCTTAGGCATGGTGCAGACTGAGGCGCAGTAAAAGCTTGTGTATCTGGAATTGCTGCGGTATATTCGGGACGAGCAGCTGCGCCTGCGCCAGCAGGTGGGGGCCGGGCCGGTTGGGGTGGGGCGGGGCCTGCGCGGGCAAGATCAAGGTAACCCGCAGCGCTAGCAGCCGAAGGAACGCGAGTGTCTGAATTTGGGCACAGCGCCCAAGACCCCTACCTCAGTCTCCAACCTTCCAGGTCGCAGGCGCCGGCGGCGTGAGTGAAGAGGCTTCAGAGGCCAGAAAGTGACCCAGTCCGGGAGAGGGCGGCCATGGGGAGTGGCTCCAAGCGCGCAGGGCGGGAGCGTGCCGGAGAGCCCGGCCACGCCCTCCTCCTCTGGCAGGACCCTGGAGAACTTGGAGTACATCGGGCAGTGACCTAGGGCCGGAGGTCCCTGGCCTGCTTTTTTCCCGCCGGGAGCCGCTGGCTCTCGCCTTTCTAAAGGGGCTCGCTCTTAACACAAAGTCTTGCCTTTGCCTCTTAAGGAGGGGATCTGAGCCTGCCCCGCAGACCCCACCCCCAGCAGGGCTAAAAAAAAACTAAACCTAGACTCAGTGCCATTGAGTTGATTCCGACTCATAGCGATCCCCATTGGGTTTCGAAGGCGGTAAAGCTTTACGGAAATAGATTGCCCAGTCTTCCTTCTGCGTAGCCAGTGGTGGGTTTGAACGGCCAGCCTTCTGGTTAGCAGTCAAATGCCTTAGGCCCTGCACCACCAGAGCTCCTTCTAGCAGGCCTGGGCCCCCAGAAATGGGAAAAGCAAACGGTACCCCAGAGGGATGGAGGAAAGGGAGGCAGGGCTGCAGCACAGTGACTGGTTTCAGGGTGAGGGATGACTGATGACCACTTTGTAGTGGGGTGACCACGTGGGGCACTGTGCAATGTGCAGAGCCAAAGTGTGTACCACATGAGTAACCAGTGAAACGAGTGGCCAGTCTTGGCTTGCCTGCCAGGCATTTGTGTGCTCTGTGTCCCACAGACCCCCCCCCCCAGAGCCACACAGCAGCTTGGCCAGGCGTGTCTTGGTCCATGCGTGTCCAGAACTACCCCAGGCAGGCATGTCACAGTCACGCAGTGGCAAATGCTTGTGGAGTGAGTAATGTGTGGAGCTCTTGTGACCGTCCCCATATGAATGTGCATGACAGGTGTGACCTCACTGGTAGGGTAGCCTAGGCAGCCCCCTCACAGAACAGCCATGGTGCCTGTGTGTCCTAAGTGAAGTGTCATGTTCTCAGTTCTTTGTCCCAGCTCTGTTGTGGCCTGGGCCCCCTCCCTAACCTGGCTGGAAGCGATGCTGGTTGGAGCAGGAAGTTCCTGCTCAGGCTTTGGGATGAGGAAGCTGGGACCTGCCTGAGCCAGAACCACCTCAGCTTCTCTTCCCATGCCTACCTTGTGGGGCCAGATTCTTGGGGTTGCGAGCAGTGGGGTGGACGTCAGCCCCACCCTCCAGACTGTGTACTTTTCTGTTCACCAGCCATGCTTGGCCTAGGGGAGCCCTGAGGGTCTGTCGGTGGCCTCTTGGGTCTGTGGGTCTTCACGCCTTACCCCCTAGGGCTTGCTGGTCAACACCACCAACCCCATTGTGGACCCAAGGAGGGGCATAGGGATCTTGGGGCTTGGTTCTCAGCTTGGGCACAGTGGAAATGGGAGAGGGGAAGGGCTACCCTTAGAGCCTCCTGGGCTCTGGACCAGGGCAAGGCCCACACTTTGTACGCCCTCCCCTAGGTATAGGGAGACTCCTCTGGATGGAGCTAGGGAACTTGTGGGCTAAGTGAGTGCAGAACAGGGCTGCTGTAGGAGAGGAGTGAGGACCACTTACCAAACTGGGATACAAAATAATTTATTCCAAAAATGTACACTTTGTAAGGTGGGAGGGGGAGCTTCTAGGGGGATGCTCCCTGCTGCCCACCCTCCAGTTGCTGCCCCTGTCTCCCCTGGTCAGAGGGACCAGAGGGATAAGACTCCTATCCAAAGGCTAGGACCAGCCTTGCCTGGGAAGGGTCTTGGGGAGGAACCTTGAGTGAAATGTTAAAATTGGGGGAGGATGAGCCACCTCTGCTGGAGGTTCACATTGTGCAGGGAGAGGGGGCCTCCAGGCTGGCTCACTTGGGCCCTAGTTTCCCCATCAGCATGATAGCATTAGAGGGGTGGTCCCTGGAGCTGGTAGGAGCCAGAGATTCTTGGAGGCTTTGGGGACCCTTTGTCCACCCTGCCAAGACACAGCCCCCGAAAGCCCTGGGGCTGTGGGGAACAGGGGTCTCTGGTGACCTCGAGGCCTAGGAGGGGGTCCTCACTTTCTCCTTTGGACCAGCAACTCCAGCTGTTGGTTGGGCTCACATGCAGAAGCTGGGGGTCATTGTGGCATAGGCAGGGCCATTGGGGGTCCTAGTTGTCAGCCAGGGACCCGAGGGGGAGCATAGTGGTAGCACTGGCGGTGGCTGCAGGGGGCCGGGGGAAGCAGCGCAGGTTCCCCGTTTTAAGTGCACACTGCACGGGCCACAGCACTACACAGAAGAGCACCAGCAGCAGCGTCGAGACCAGGGCCACTCGCCTCCAGTCCCTGCAGCTGGCCCAGCAGCGGGCCAGGCGGTCCACGCGGCGCACAGGCCCTGGGGGAGACGGGGGTGGCACAGGCTCGGGCGGCTTGCTCAGGCCCACATCTACGCACACGAAGCTGGGTGAGGCGTGGCCGGGCGCAGAGGGTGGCGGGCGGCAGCAGAGCTTGGTGCCCTCCAGCCATACGCACTCCTCCTGCCGCAAGTGGGCTGGCATCTTGGCCAGCAGCTGGTGGCTAGTGCGCAGGGCAGGAGCCCCAGCAGGGGGCACGGCTGTGGGCTGCCGGCAGAATGGGCAGGGTACAGCTTCACTGCCAGGGCGGCCCATGGGCTGAGCGGCTGCCAACCGCGCCAGGCACTCGAGGCAGAAGACATGGGTGCAGGAGAGCTCCTTGGGTGTCTTGAAGATGTTGTCATAGCCAGAGAAGCAGATGGAGCACTCTAGTGGAGAGGCCACCTTCTCAGATCCTGGGGTGCTGGGGGACCTGGGGTTGCTGGCGGAGCTGGGGGACCTGGGGTTGCTGGCGGAGCTGGGGGACCTGGGGTTGCTGGCGGAGCTGGGGGACCTGGGGTTGCTGGTGGAGCTGGGGGACCTGGGGTTGCTGGTGGAGTGGGGACTCCCAGGCACCCTGGCTATGGGGCTGCTCCAGCTGGGGGGTGGCACAGCCGTGTGCCACACCTGTTGGTCTGATGACATGGCTTCGATCTATGGGATAAACAGAGACCTTATGAGTAATCTCATGCTCCCCTTTCCCAAGAGGTTAGTCTGTCACTCTCCCTCCCTTCTTCTCTTTCTGTTGGCCAGCACCAGCCCCTAGGATCCCAGGGAAGGACAGGACCCAGCCTACGGCACCTCTAGAAAGTTCTTCCTATACTTCCCGCCCCGCTGCCTTGCTTCAAGGAGGGTGCAGGTGGTGTGCTCAGGGAGAGGGGAGGTTGTGCTAACCTGCTGGCCTGGTCCCCACCTTCTAGCCATCATACCAGGCATAGGTAACAGAGGAGGTGACAGTGGCCCCATGGTGGTAACTATGCCCAGGCCTTGCAGGGCCCATGCCACTGACGCTCATGTGCCACCATGGGGAACCTGTAGCTTAGAGTGGGGTCAGTCAGGGTCGCTGGCTAAGAGATCACTTGTACTCTCATGGGACAGGCTCTGGGACGGGGAGGTGGGTTTGAATGTGGCTCCCAGCCAGGCCTGGCAGTGACTGGCCTCTTAGTTGCTGGCAGTGGGTCAGGGGGGCACTGGGTCAGGGGGGCACTGGGACTGGGGGTCATGGCCTGGAAGGCGGGGCATGGGGGTCAGTCTCTGGGCCTGTGGGTCTGGGCTTGGTCCTGGGTGTCAGGGCCTGGGCCTTGGTGTTGCTCTCTGGAGCTGGAGGTCAAAGCCTGGGCTGAACTATCCCAGCCAGGGGAGATCAGGGCCTGAGAGGGTAGGCAAAGCCCAATGGTCTTTATGGGGTTTGTGTCCCATCCTTGTCTGGAACCTGCCAGGCCAGCTTGTCAGGCTGGTGACCAGGGTCTGGTGCCAGTGAGGGTGCTGGAATGTAGACGCTGGCTGTTCCCTCTGGTCCACCTGGGTTTGCACACCAACTCGCTGGCCACCAAGGAAGGAATGTCCTCAGAGACTCTCCCTCCCACACCAGAGACACCTCTCTAGTTAAACATCACGGCTGCTGACCTGGGGCCTGTTGGGACCCCCTCTGGACCCAGGCCCCAGTCCCACCTCTCCACCTTACTCTCTAGAGAGTAACAGGCAGTCCTTGGATGACAAAGGCTATACCAGTCCTGCCTGGAGGAGGGCAGGTGAGAAGGTGACTCACCTGTCACCTTCTTAAGGGCAGGGTCAGCCAGGGCCCCAGGAAGACCTGGCCAGGTGACCCCTGGAGCCCAGGAGGACTCGCCAGCGAAGCGGAGCTGAAAGGCCCTTCCAGCCCTGCAACTGCTGTCCTAATCCTGACCTCAGGGCTACCCTGGGTCCCAGGCAGCCAGGTGGCGATGATGCTTGGTGACGGGCTAGGAAGGCTCGAGAGCTGCAGCCTCGTCATTGCCCACCCGCTGTGACTCATGATGACATCGTGGTGAGGCTGCAGGTGCCCATGACATGAGTTCACAGACATCACGTGCCCAGGCATGGCAGCTGGGCATTGGGCCAAGCAGTGGCCTTGGCAGGTGGGGGCGTGCCCAGTGCACCCCACACAGCCCCTCCATGGAACAGCCACACCTGAGCTCTGGGTGCAGTTGAGTGGTGAATGGTGTGTGCTGGCCTTACCTGATGACTGGGTGTCAGCGGGGCCTGGGCATGGTCCTCTTCAGCGGCCACAGTGGGCCTGGTTCCAGAGCCTCCTGAGGCACTCAGTGCCCCCTCCTTGGGGCGGCTTGCTTCCACCTCACAGCTATCTCTTCTCGGCCAACCGCCAACAGCTGTCCTGGTGGCTGGTTCCGGCAGGCGCGGCCTCTGCACAGTCAGGGCAGTGGGGGTGGCAGGCAGTGTCTTCCAGGTGTGTGGAGGTTTGATCTGGCAGGCGTGTGTGTGCTCCAGGTGTTCCAGCAGGTGTATTTATACCCTCCAGCCTCTACTGGTCAGGGGTGTGGCCTGAGGCCTTGGGATTGGCTGGCTCAGTCCTCTCCCTGGCAGGTTGGGCGGGGAGTCGGGTAAAGGGTCAGACCCTGAGCCAGGCTGTGCTGGGAGGGGATGTTTGACAAAGTGCCTCCCTCATCCCTCACCCCCCACCCTGTCATCCCCAGGATGCCGCAGCAGCCCCTTGGTCTCACTGTCACTTTGTGTTGTCAAAGTCCCAAGCTCTGGGGTGGGCTTCCTGGAAGGGGCCACCCACCATACACCCCAGTGAGCCCCCAGCTCTTGCACTCACAGTCTCATACAGCCTGTCACACCTACCTGCTTGCTCACCTGACTCATCCACTCCCCTTGCCCCCTCATGTGCACACACATGTGCATGCTGCCACCTTGGCCTTCAGCCAAGCACTTCAGAAGTGCTGCTCTGGAGTCCAGGGAGGGAGGCTGGGGGTGCTGGGCAGGGGCTCCTCGAGAGGTGCAGTGAGTCTGTAAGGGACCCAGGCTGGCAGGACTGGTTGGGATTAGTGCCAGCCAGTTACTCCTCCCGGGAGGTGCCCTGGGAGAGAGGGCAAGGTGAAGGCCAACAAGTGGCCTGGCAGGGGTGTGGGGGAGATGTGCCAGGGGGTGGAGCTGAGGAGAGTCCTCCACCCATCCTCCCATCCTGCGCTGGCACCTAGCCCCTTCCCACTCCCTGCTGTTCCTGTCTCATCTCACCTCCGGCCCCGCCCCTGGCCTCAGGGCAGAGGTGGCCTCTCAGTGTCATTTCCAAGGCCAGACTCCTTCCTGGGTTAGGGGTGACTTCAGGGGCTGAAGGCACAGAACTTCATCTGGAAGAGGAGGGGAAGGGGCTTGAGGAGGAGGTAGGCCCCAGATAAGGGGTGGGGGCTCAGAGAGGGGGTGGGGGCTCAGAGAGGGAGGTAGGGCTCATAGAGGGGAGAGGGGCTCCAGATAGGGGTGGGGGGTTCAGAAAGGGGGTGGGGTCCCAGAGAGGGGGTGGGGGCTCAGGAAGGGGGTTTGAGGAGGAGGTGGGGGCCCAGAGAGGGGGGTGGAGGCTCAGTGACCATGGGGGCGAGTGGGTTAGAAAGGGGCAGTGGGCTAGGCTAGCTGAGGGGCTGGCTAGGCTAGGCTCCATGACTGCAGGTTCCTGTTTCTATGGGGAACATGATGTGTGGGGTCACCACCTCCTCCAGGAAGTATCTGAGAACACTCTTCCCAAGGTCTCTTGGGAATGTCTGGGCTCTGAAGTCACACTGAGGCTCAGTGGACAGTCAGTAGCCTGGAGGCACAGGTGACTGGATGCCTGTCAGTCCATGGAATTTGCCAGCGTGGGTGGTGCCAGGCTCCACTGCCTAGGGAGGTGGGACCTAGATGGGAGGTAGAGGGGGGTCATTGATGCTGACTGAGTAGAGGGAATGGAAGAACTGGCCACCTGGCCTTCACCCTACCTACTCAATCCTCATCCTGGCCCTGGGCAGCTGCAAGCATTGAGACCGGGTGTGTTGGTCAAAGCATGTGGATTGTGTATGTTGCTCTGTGTAAGTGGGTGATGTATGTGTGCACCAACAGGTTAACATGGGTGAGTGTACAAATATGCATGAGTCTGCACATGTAAGGGCATGTGCTTGTATGTCAGGTGTCTGCATATGTGTTGTGCACATGTGCCTGTGTGCATGTGTGAAGGGAACCCGGACACTCACGAGGGCCCCTGTACCTCTGTGGGCCATGTCTGCATGCACTGTGTCACCTCATTGTTGTCACTGCAGCACTGGAGGAGAGGTCAAGACCCTCAGGGGGATCCCACTGCCCCCTAGATGTGGCTTTATGAGGATGGGAGGGTCTGAGCACTAAAGCCACCTGGGCTGGAGACAGAAGGTTTCTTTAGTGGGTTGAACAGAGGAGGGAGTGGCATCTCCCAGGAAAGACATGCCCTCTGTAGTCCTCTGGCCAAGATACTGCCCCCAAGTCGGAGGGAACCAGCCTCAAGCCCCTGAGGCTCCACATCCTGGGGGCATGAGATGTGGCCTGTGTGGGGAGAGGTTCTCCAGGCCCAGGTCATCTGGGGGTTGGGATGCATTGGGGACCTCTGGCCACCTACAAGTTGCTGGGCAAGGGGCCAGGGTCCTCGGGGCAGGGGAAGCTGGGTGCTGCCACACCCAACACGGTTGGGACTCTTGGATTGTTTGGGGAAGTGCTGATCTGAGCATCTATCTCTGTTGGTTCCAAGCAGTAATCCCTCTCCACTGGCCCAGCTGTGGGAGGGATGGGCTGGGTAGCCCCAGGAGATCCAGAGGCTGGCTGAGGAAGATGGGCTGTAGATTTGAGTCTAACCTTGCCTTAGCCTCTGATGCCTGGAGAGACTCGAGCCAGCACTATCCCTGCCCACACCCAGCCAACCCCCAAAGGGGGGTTGACCCCAAAGGTCAACCTGATGGCCTCTCCTCTGAGCCTGCCACCTCCTCACCTCTACCCCCAATCCCACTGTAGCTCTTTCTATGGCTCAGTGCCCCAGGCAGCCCTGGCCCACTGGCTAGGACCCTTGCCCTGACCTTACCTTCAGACCATGTGCACCCTGCTCTGTCCACCCACCTCTTCCCACTCGCCTCTCCCTAATATTGCTGCGGACACTTTTCTGTCACTGATCAACTCATGCTCTGTGGGTGTCTCTGTACCCAGGGACCCAGTGGATGCCACAGAATGAATGAGTAAATGAATGAATGCACTAAATCCCTCTCCCCAGCACCTCCCACACAATGTGCTCACCCCCTGGGAGCTAGCACCCCAGAGCTCTCAACCAAAGCTGATACAGTGAGGGGAATCAGGAGGGAGCCAAGTGCCCCTACATGCCTGCCTTAGCCTGAGCTGCTCACCCCACGGGGGCCCTGTCTGATCTCTGGTCAGGATCTGAGATCTGGAGTCCAGGTGAAGGTGTGAATGAGGGGCTCAGGATGGAGAGAAACCCAGGGGAAGGGTTGTCAAAGGATGTCCTGGGTGAGGACTGCCTTGTGAGGAGAGGAGGGATCCCACCAATGATGTCCTGCCCCATTACTCCACTCACATAAGGTACTGGGAATTACCAAAGATGCCCCACCAACCATCACATAAGCCCTACCCACTTCTATCCC